CCACCAAGCTCCCAACATGGAGGGTTCAGCCAAGAGTGACAGTCACAAGCCTCTCGTGGTGTACACTTTTCTCTGACAGTGCTTGCCAACTTGGAAGAAGGAACCCAGAAAACAGATGGTTGGGCATATTTAGCATTGGGTACCATGGACAACCTGGGAATGACAGTGTAGTTGAACCATTGAGCAGGACATCATCCCAGGCAGAGAACCATGCTGATCACTCTCTGTGTGCCCCTCTGGATCCCCCTCCACCCCTGCTCTTCGCCTGGGGGGCTGTCATCCATGGGTGGCATCGAGGGACTCCCTTGCCCTCTGGTTGCCGGTTAGGGTCACTTTGCTCCTCACCTCCACCCTACCCTCTCTGCCAAGGCTCTAGCAGCTCCTCCTGCTGTTCAGCACTCCCCAGGTGCAAATACCATTGGGCCCAGGGTGGCCGTCCCTGGTCCTCAAGATCCCTGGGGGCTGCCTAAACCCCGCCACCCGTCTGCAAACAGCCCTTTACTCACCTCTTCTGTGCGGGTCAGTGGGGCCTGACTGACCCAGGAAGAACAGATCCCATGGGCCTGCCCAGCAGGCTGATGGAGGGAGATGAAGGGAAGAGGGGAAAGGAAGAGATGGCATGGGGGGAGAGAGGAAGATTAGGATTTCCCAGGTGGAGCTTATGTTCCTCTCTGGAAGGGTAAAGGGGGCTCCGTGGGATGGGGAAGAGGGTTATGGGGTGAGAGAAGGGTTCTGGGAGAGGAAGGGTGGCAATTCACATTTGCTCCTGTATGGCCCCACTGGTTGACCACAACCAGTGCTTTTGTTTCTTACACACACACCCGTCCCCCCCCACACCCACCCACCCACCCACGTGCGCATGCGCACACACACACACACACACACAGAAGAATCCTCCTTTGATCCCTCTGAGCCCCAGCGCATGAGCTCAGGCCTCATGCTGACCACAGTTCCAGGTGACCCATTTCAGATTTGTGGCATCTGCACAAAAACATTTCATTTGTTCTGACCTGGCTTTGCTGCCAGAAGAGTCCTAGCTCCCAGCAGGCTGCAGGACATTCAGCCACTTTATCACACTTTCCTCAGGCCTCCTTAGGTAGCCCTTGAGGTCCGGGCTGTCCCTGGCTGAAGCAGGATCCCAGCAGGCCTGCACACAGCAACTGTCTCCCCCTTACCCGACTCGTTATAATTAAAAATTGGCCCTACACATGCCTTTGTAAGTGGTCAGGGTCTCTGTGGCCCAGCCAGAGCAACAGAAATGCAGATTAAGTCCCTTTTATGACCCCATTCTTTCAAGCTTGTGAGAACTCTGCCCAAACTAAGAACAAGTTCTCACCCCTTCCACTTTCTTGTGATCTATTTGAGGAAGAAGCCACATTTTATTCCCTTTGAATAGGGACTAGCCTTGGCCCATGGGAAGGACTCAATACAACCTCCTTAACATTCAGAGTCTCTGCAAGTCAATAAGATAAAGGACCTCCCCTAGTAAGAATATGAATAGCCAATTAAAAAATGTTTTCTTCATTTCTGGATAGGTAATACATTTTCTGGTAATATATATTTTTGTAATTGATATTCACTTATATATCTGTATATTTTAAGAAAAATCCCTTAGGGGGCACCTGGGTGGCTCAGTTGGTTAAGCGTCTGCCTTCGGCTCAGGTCATGATCCTAGGGTCCTGGGATTGAGCCCCACATCGGGCTCCCTGCTGAGCTAGGACTCTTCTGGCAGCCTGCTTCTCCCTCTGCCCCTTCCCCCTGCTCATGCTCTTGCTTGCTCTCTCTCTCAAATGAGTAAATAAAAAATCTTAAAAAAAAAAAGAAACATCCCTTATATGTGCATTTGTTTGAATATGTCTATATGAGCATGGAGCAGTGATTCTCAATCAGGGTGATTTTGCCCTCCAAGGGACACATGGCAATGGCTGAAGACATTTTTGGTTGTCACCACTGGGGAATGCGAATGGCAGAAATGCTAAAAATCCTACAATGCACACAGGACTGCACCCTACCCTGGAAAGAATTATCCTATCCAAAATACCAATGGTGTTGAAGTTGAGAAACCCTGGCATAGAGAAAGGAAAATAAATGGAAAACCATAAAACTGTTAATATTGAACCTTTTCCTCACTCACCATATATGTTTGACTTATTACAATATGTATTTTGACCACTAAAAATTATCCTATAAAAGTAAAAATATAATACTCAGTGAAAGTTTCTTATTTTGGCAAAGACAATGATGGAGCTGGAGTAGGGGAGACTGTTTCCCAAGGAGACATTAGGGGGTAGGGGTGTGAGCAGAGGGTAGTGGGAGCTGGAAGCAGCAGGGCGTGGGTGGGGATGCTTAGAGACTGGTCCTGACATAGGAGCTCACCTGCAAAGTCTGAAGAATCCCAGGTCTTTTGTGAGCTGAATAAGGACTTGCAAAAATGTCCTATGATTAGGCATAAACCTTATTTCCATTTCATAGACTGGAGTGAACCAGTCTTGTGGTCAGGCAGCAGGGAATCATAACTCCTCACAACTGCATTTCTCACTGGCCTGCTGAGAGTTGGGTTAGGTGCTTCTTGGCAAAGAGGGGTCAATGAAGATGGAAAAACTCTGGCTTAAACCACAGGTGAATTAAACAGGATTCTTCACTGCAGGCCTAATCAGAGCCTTTAATGTGCTAGAATGTGCATCTCCAAGAGGGAATTCAGTAAATGCAGGACTTCCCAAGTCCTTTTTACTGACAGCATCTCTTAAGACTAGGATTCTGGGAAATACTAATCTAGTCTAATCAATTTTACTGATGAGGAAATGGGTGGCCAAAAGAAAAGTAACTGGCTAGGCTAACTGGTGCAGTTCCATCCCAGGACACCTGTATTTCAGACCAATGCTTTTTCCCTAGCATTAAACATTTAACCACAGGTACAAATCAACCCTAGATTCTTGGGGAACGTTCCTAAGATTTATGGAAATTTTTCCCCCCAATTTAATTTGGAGCAGTTGCACTGGAGATTAAGAGAGAAAGGAGTAACACTGGAAGCCATTCAAAGCAAAACCCACCTTTCAAGAGGATCGAGACATTCTTTGCCTCAGAAGAGAGACCATTTTTTGCTTGGTGGAGGGGGCACCCATGAAGACCAAATATGCTCCCATGAAGGAATGCTCCACCAGGTCCTTTTGAAAATATAACCTGCATGGGACAGATGGAGACACCTGCGACTTCAATCCTCCCCAGTGTACCTCAAATTGACCTCACTGGGCCAGGAGAAGCCCTAGAAAACTTATTCTGTATAATCTCTCCAAGAAGTAAAGTGACTAAAATTTACTTGCTCCTGTTACATGCCGGGCCTCTAGAAGGCACTTGAGGATTCAAAGATGAATAGAGCATAATTCTTGCTCTGAAGGGAATCTCCATCTGGTAGGGAAACATATTCCATGGAGTCAGACTGAGATAGGGCTATACTGACAATGTGAACAAAGTCCTAGCAGCCAATGAGGGGCAGTGTTTACACTTTTGAATGCTGACCCTTCTAAGAAGCTTGCACACCTCAGCTTGCGGGCATCGGGAGCTATGGAAGATGTTTTCAGTTTTAACCAGAGAACTCTGGCCCAGGTACCTTCGGTGACTCCACTTCCCATTATCAACTTCCCTTCTTGCTCCCCTATTTTATTTGGGGCAAATTATGCTCAGAGACTGAGACTGTCTTTACTAACGATTTATTTAATACAGGTTCACTGAGGGAATTAAAATTTATAATATTTCACAAGTCAATAGCATAAGGATGTCTCTTTATAAGCTAATAAAGAAATAACAGACTTCAAACCAGTGACAGGTTAATTACGCTATTGTTCCAGGCAAGGGGAGATGAAAGTCCAAATTTAGTTGAGGTATACCTTTCCACACTGGGTAGAGTCAATCCTTCCAACTAAAAGCTGGATAAAGCTTCCAGCTTAGGATCCGCACTCCCAGGGCACCAGTGTTGGCAGGAAGGTATGCTGCTTCGACGAGACCACTAAACGGATTGTGCCACTGCCTACGAGTGCCAAGGCCGGGACAGATGCCCCTTCTCTAAGACTGCTGCAGGGTTTAACACCACTGCTGACCAAAAGTAGCCTCACTAGGGCAGGAGAAAGTGTCTCAAGATCTTCAGAGAACTATTTAGATCAAGAAAGAGTAGCCTTGCCCAGACTGAACACTCTCGAGGTGTTGGTCAAACCTCTTGGTTTTTAATGTTTAAAAGTCTTTTACACGATGGACCCACTGCTGCTACAGCGGTGTCAAGGACCTAACAGTCCTCTCCACGCCAGGGGCGAGAGTTCATTAAGTCCTAATACCCAACTTCAAAACGAGTTCAAACCACAAACAACTTTGTCCAAAACAAGCTTTCAAAACATGGATTTGAAATGATAACAAGTCAGGACACAACAGCGTCCCTTAACTTGTTCCTTGGTTAATAACCTCCGGGTAGAGCCCACCCCCTCACTCCACATCACCAAAGGTCTTGGTCCTGGGAGGGGCCCTAAATCTGGCCCAATCCTCCTTCCCCTCCCCGGTCCCACCTGAAGCCTGGACCTCATCCCCACAACGACTTCATCATCTCAGCGCCACTGTAACAGGAAACATGCTAGGACTGCGGGCAGGTCCTGCCCAAGTTCTTACAGACTGGGCCAATGCAACAAGTTCGCGATGCCTCACACTGCCTGGCGAACCCGCATAACAGTTAACACAGTGGCCTTCAGGAGCTAGCTCCTAAATTTAAGTCATTTGGGGAAAAAGAATAAAATAAATTTAAATCATTTGGGGGTCCAGCAAGTCTCTTGACAGACTCGGGCTTAACAAGTTCCATCAAGAAGCCTCCTCGTTTACAGAGCACAACTAGCAGGCAACACGCACAGGAACTCCACTGTGGTCGCCTCATTCTACGGAGGAGGCCACGGAGTCCCAAGGGCGCAAAACGAGCTGCCTCTGCGTTAGTAAAGGGCAAAGCCCCAGAAGCCTACGTTTCATACCGAGACGGCCCGGGTGCCTCCGGGACCGAGCAGCGGAGGACGGCAGTGAGAACCAGGCACGCGCTGACTCTCCCGGCCTCCAGCCAGAGTCACGTGACGGGGGGCGGGCTCCAGGCCTGGAGGAAGCGGAAGTCCGACAGGCGGTTGGGGGGAAGCCCTCCCCCGGAAATCACGCCTCTTTCCGGAGCCTGCTCCCGGAAGTGCTGGTGTTTGTGGCGGGCGTGATGGCTTCAAGGTTACTTCGCGGAGTTGGAGCGCTGGCCGCGCAGGCCCTTAGGGCCCGCGGTCCCAGTGGAGTCGCCGCGGTGCGCACCATGGCATCTGGAGGTACTCGGCCCGCCCGGCGCGTCAGGGACCGGCACCGTTGCCCTCCCGAGGTGGTGCCAGGGCAGCGAAGCGGGGCGGGCCGTTCAGCTCCTCGGGGCCCCAGTGACTGCTCCGGGGCCCTGAATGCCTCAGGCTCGGCGGGCTTCTCCCTGTTATTCCTGGCCGCTTGTGCTGCCGCGCACCGAACTGACCCCCGCTCCGGAAGAATCCTAAACTGAGGCGCCGGGTGACCTTGGGGGACAGGGGTTGCAACCGGGATGCGGAGAGGCTAAGCTGCGCTTCAGAGCCGCGCTCACCTCAAGTTGGACGAACCCCAGTAGGACTCTGACTTACTTTTAGAAAAAATGTGTAGAAATATTGGTCTCCGTGGTTGAAGGAAGAAAAGATTACCCTGTGCTGCCGCTTTTGGGGATCGTGACAGTGGTTCTTAGGAGACAGTGTGTTTGAGTAGCCCTTAGGAGCTTGTAAATTATACGTGAACGTTCGTGTATAATGCATTTTTCGTCTTGATAATTCAGACATCATAATTCACGTTTTTTCCCTTAGGTGGTGTTCCTACTGATGATGACCAGGCGACTGGGCTGGAGAGGGAGGTCATGATGGCTGCACGGAAAGGACTGGTGAGAAGCTCCTTTCTGAGCCTTCTCTGGAGTTCATGGTCTTGGGTGATGGGATCAGAACGGTCTCCTCTCTGGTAGCATTTGAGATAGGGAACCTGATTTGTGTGGGAACAGTACCACTAGCCTTTGGAGGGCAGGGATCATTTGGCATAATGGCTTAATTCTTTTTCAGGACCCATACAATATGCTAGCCCCAAAGGCAGCTGCAGGCACTAAGGAAGACCCTAATTTAGTCCCATCTATCACCAACAAGCGAATAGTGGGCTGCATCTGTAAGTACCTCACCACTATTTTTTTGTCCATTTGTTTAATGTATTCTATACAGGATGTCAGTAAGATGTTTCAAATCTTTTGTGTGTATGGTGTGTGTGTGTGTGTGTGCATGTGTGTAAAGGGGATATGTGTGTAAATGAGTTATTCTAAGGGTCCCCTGGCCCTTTCAAACTTCATTAACCTTCATTAATTAAGTAGGTTGTCCTTACTCTAAAGAGGCATAGAACATCAGTAATACCAGCTCATTGGGGATGCAGCATGAAGGAGTATTCATCCAGAAAATATTTATTCTACTTCTTCTTTGCCAGATACCATTTTAGGCACTAGGGCTATATATCAGAATGGACTATGCTTTGGGATTCTACATAGGCAGAACTACTCTTAGAACCTAATAGTGACTCTGATGTGAGCCCATAAGTAAACTCAGGGCCTCATTTCTTCATCTGAAAAGTGGGGAAGGAGAGAGCTTGAATTGATCTCTTAAGATGTCAGCCATAACTTTGTGTCTTAGAGGTGTCTGAGGAGGAGGTTAATATTGAAAGTCTCCACTTCTAGGTTGGATGGACTTCAACCACCTTTTCCCTTTCAGGTGAAGAGGACAATAGTACCGTCATCTGGTTCTGGCTGCACAAAGGCGAGGCCCAGCGATGCCCTAGCTGTGGAACCCATTACAAGCTGGTGCCTCACCAGCTGGCCCACTGAGCCTTTGCACTAACTTACTCAAAATGTGCTGTGAAGTTTATTCTTTCCAATAAAGACTAGCCATTGTGTTGGCTCCTTCTCCCATAGTTGGCTGGTCTTATTTCTATCCTTTATTTTTTGGGAGGCATGGATTCTTACATTGGGAATAGCTATCTGTTAATATTATTTTGCCATCCATGTGCTTGTGTATGCCGAGATTGACAATCCCATAATACAATGATTGGGACCATCTGCTATGGGGAAAGCATGGGCTATGGCATCAGGCCGACTGGACTTGTAATACTGGCTCCATCATTTAGCTTTGTCACTGGGAGCATGCCCTCTGAGGGTAGGTTACATCTTCAAAACAAACAAACCAACCTTGTGAGGTGTTAGAAGTAATAACGTAATATAAAGAGCCTGGCAGATGGCTTACAGTATTGTTATAAAATAGGGTGACCTTGTGACCAGAGTTTTGGGAGCTTTGAAGACTTGGGGTTCAAGGCATAGTTCATGGGGATACCATCAGCAAAATCCAGAATATGAGACAATTCCAGAAACCAATGACCAGTTTCTTCAAATAAATTGCTGTGAGGAGGGGCACCTGGCTGGCTCAGCTGGTAGAGCATGCTACTCTTGAACTCAGGGTCATGAGTTCAAGTTCCACAGTGGGTGTGGAGCCTGCTTTAAAAAAATAGTTTAAAATTAAAAAATTGCAATGAGGAAAAGAGTAGAGAGAACCTATCAAGTGAAATGGAAGTGAGGGAGATAACAACCAAGAGCAAAGCGTGGACCTTGTTTGGATCTTTATTTGAAGAAATGCAACTGTAAAGAAAACAAATTGAATAATTTGAACTTTGGGTATTTGACATTTAGGGATTTATTAAATTTTAGATGTGTTAATGGAGTTAACTTATGCGTTAGAGATTCTTGGTGAGGTACTTAGGGGTGAAGTATGTCTGGGATTAGCTTTAAAACAGTGGGAAGAAAAGGAAGAGGAGTTTCGGGCAGGAATGATACATTGTAGCCAGGTAGAAGAAGGGTCATAGTTCTACTCTTGTGTATGTTTGAACTTTATTATAATAAAAATAAGAGTTGAAAGAAATTTTAAAAAGTCCATTTCAGCTACGTTATATTTGTGACATCCTGGACAATTAAGTTCTCAAAAGCTGTTTGTAAAATGGAACTGGTACCTGGTACCTTTCTGTTTTTGTTGGGATTAGCCACAGAGCTGGCTTTAGTTACTTTCTCCACAAAATTGGTTTGGACTAGGTCTTTTTTTTTTTTTTTAAGATTTTATTTATTCATGAGAGACAGAGAGAGAAGCAGAGGGAGAAGCAGGCTTCCTGCCGAGCAGGGAGCCCGATGCGGGACTCGATCCCAGGACCCTGGGATCATGACCTGAGCCGAAGGCAGACGCTTAACCATCTGAGTCACCCAGGCGGCCCAGACTAGGTCTTTGAGCTGAGCTGATGATGGGGAGCTTTAGGGAGAAAAGTCATTTCCCCCAATGTTGCCTTACTTCCTCTTCAAGGTATAGTCAGAGCTGCTGTTTCTATTCTTTGCTGTCATTATCTTTGGTTTCCAGGAAATGCTAGAGCATTTGTCTGCCATTCAAGGCCATTCCCTTTGGGAAGGGGAATACCTAGCTATCTATTAAACCTACCCATACTGGGGCGCCTGGGTTGCTCAGTCGTTAAGCGTCTTGTCTTCGGCTCAGGTCATGGTCCCAGGGTGCTGGGATCGAGCCCCACGTCGGGCTCTCTGCTCAGCGGGAAGCCTGCTTCTTCCTCTCCCACTCCCCCTGCTTGTGTTCCCTCTCTCGCTGTGTCTCTCTCTCAAATAAAATCTTTAAATAAATTAATTAATTAAAAAAAAATCTACCCATACCACTCCCACCTCAAATGCTGTTCTAAACAAGAGTTTACTCCGGTACTGCCACCCAGCCCTTCTGTCTGGCCTACCTCCTGCATTCCCCCTTCCTTTTCCACTGTCTTCTTTTCCACCCTTCTTAGGGTGCGCTTTTGACTCCATATGTCATTAATTGGGTTTATCTTCTCCCTCCCTCAATTTCAAGACCCTCTTTGCTTTTTAAAACTGTACCCAGGGGCGCCTGGGTGGCTTAGTCGTTGGGCATCTGCCTTCGGCTCAGGTCATGATCCCAGGGTGCTGGGATCGAGCCCCACATCTGGCTCCCTGCTCAGTGGAAGGCCTGCTTCTCCCTCCCACTCCCCCTGCTTGTGTTCCCTCTCTCGCTGTGTCTCTATCTGTCAAATAAATAAAATCTAAAAAAAATAAAAATAAATAAAGCTGTACCCAATTCTCAGGGCGCTTAGCTGGCTCAGTCTGTGGAACATGCGACCTGATCTCAGGGTTGTAAGTTTGAGCCCCACGCTGGATGTTGAGATTGCTTAAAAAAAAAAAAACAACACATTCTCCCCTAAAGAAAGAAAAATCCCCAGTACATGTCCAGATTGTGGTAGGCAGGATAATGGCCCCCAAAGATGTCTATAATCTAGTCCCAGAATCTGTGAATACATTAGGTAATGTAGTAAAAAGTTATTAAGGCTGCAAATCAACTGACCTTAAAATAGGGAGATTATCCTGGATTATCCAGGTGGGCTCAATAATTCAAGGGCAGCAGCAGAAGAGAGTCCAAGGGAGATGTGACTGTGGGAGAATGGCCAGAGAGATGCAGCATTGTTGTTTTGAAGATGGAAGAAGGAGGCTAGAAGCGAAGGAATACCAGGCAAGGAATGTAGCCTGTAGAAGCGAGGGAAGAAGATAAGCCTCACTCTGACGGTATTAAACAATCTGCAAATACAGAATAAAAAACTTGTTTCCTGGAACGATTTGAGTGTAAGCTGCTGATCTGATGCCCCATCGCACTTCAGTGTATGTTTTTTACAAAGATGTTCTTTTATATACCTATAATATGACCATCAAAAATCAGGAAGTTAAAATTTATACAGTTCTGCCATTTAATCCTCAGACCCTATTCAAGGTTTGCTAAGTGTGCCTATAATATCCTTTATAGAGCCAGTTCAGAATCCTATGTTGCCTTTAGTTGTCATGTCCCTTTAGTCGTCTCCACTCTGGAACAGTTCCTCGGTCTTTCCAGACCTCTGAAAATTACACCAACTCGGGTTGGTCTGATGTTCCCCCAGGACTGGGTTCAGCATTATGTGTCTTGGGCACGAGCACTGCAGAGGTGATGCTGCACTCTTCCTGCTAGGCGTGTGATGTCGCCTTGTCCCACTGCTGACAGGGTTCACTTTGGTCACCTGATTAAACTAACGTCTGTCAGACTTCACTGTGCAGTTGCTCCTTAGTAAGTATCTTATGCGGGCAACACTGAAATGCTCCTCACCAAGACTTTGATTTATATCAGAATGGACTCATGCTTTATTATATTCAGTGGGTTATAATTCGTAACTATTATTTAGCTTCTGATGTTTAATTTGTTCCAAATTTGGCTGGTAGGAGCTTCTTCAAGTTGGCACCTGTGGCCTTTTGACATGTCCCTATCATTCTTTGAGCACTTTTTAAATTTTCCGGCACAGAATGTTCTAGGCTCACCCTTCCAGGCTGTTTATAAACTCATGAGGTAGGTACTATTATTATCACCCCCATTTTATTTTTATTTATTTATTTATTTATTTTTAAAGATTTTATTTATTTGAGAGAGAGAGAGAAAGCATGAGGTGGGGAGGGTCAGAGGGAGAAGCAGATTCCTCGCTGAGCAAGGAGCCCGATGCGGGACTCGATCCTGGGACTCCAGGATCATGACCTGAGCCGAAGGCAGTCGCTTAACCGACTGAGCCACCCAGGCGCCCTATCACCCCCATTTTAGAGATGGGGACTCCTAGGAACAGCTCAGGATTATGCAGCTAGCTAGTTGTGGTGACAGGATTGTGAATGCAGAACACAGCTTGAGCCTGAGCTCTCCCCGCCCGCCACCCTTTTGAGGTAATTTTAGAATTGCAGAGACTGCACAGAGTTCCTGTTTACCCTCCACCCGGTCTCCCTTAATGTTAACAGCACATTGACTGAAACCAGGAAATTCACACTCACACGGGGCTATTCACTGATTTTGCCGGCTTTCCCAGTAAGGTCCTTGTCCGGTCCCGGACCTCACATTGCATTTCGCTGTCATGCCTTAGTCTTCTCCAATCTGTGACAGTTGCTGTCTTTACCTTCATAACCTGTCACTTTTGAGTAAGAGAACTGGTCCGTTAATTTGCAGGATGCCCTGAGTTTGGGTTTGCCTGTTTGTCCCTGGCCAGACTGAGGTGATGGGAATAGCACGGGTGACGCTGCAGCCTTACTTAGTACAGCACCTCAAGAGACCGTGACTAATGACTGCGGAGGCACACTTTGGTCATTGGTTTGAGGTGCTATCCACTAGGTTTCTGCGCCATAAAGTTACTATTTTTCCTTTTTGTAGTTACTAGTTATCTTGTGGGGAGATACTCTGAAGCAATGCAAATGTCCTTGCTTTTGCTCACTAATGTTTGCATCCATTTTTGTCTACAACAGTTAGTACTGTGGTGTTTGCCTGCCTGTGGTGATTTCCATTTTCCATTGCTCCTTCCACAGGAATTAAACTACTGTAAGGAAGAACTGTCCCTCCTCCCCCTATGTTTACATCTATTCAGTTTATTTATATCAGAGTGGACTCATAAGTATTTTAAATTATGGCTTATCATCCACCACAGATTTGATCACTGGTGCTCCTTCAAGTTGGTTTCTGTGTCCTTCTGCCTCCTTTTGGGGGCACTTCTTTACTCTATGGTACCACAAGATATACCAGGCTTATTTTATACTTTCTCTGCTCTAGATCTGGAATTCCTCTAGATCTGATTCCTTCTACTGAAGAGTGGTATTTAGAAGCACTGTATGTGCCTGTTACTGGGGTGTCACTGTGTCTAGGTCCTCTAAGCAGACACGGCTGGGAAATACGTACATACATTGTAACCCCAGCGTTCACACACTGAAGCCTATTTATTTCAGCATCTATCTGTATGTGTATTAAAAACCATGAGTCCATACCTCCAATCCCAATCCAATACCACAAAGTTCGTTCTAGCCTTACCACCTTTTTGTC